CGCAATTACTAAATAGTCCCTTATTTGAAAATTCACAATAAGAAGATTTTCGATCGAGAAGGCGTAGCGTGACGATGTTGTGTGCGGAAACAAAAAGCTTCCCAATCACCAAGATTCGCTTTCACGAACGTGGCATTCAAGAATTCGCGAAGCCAATGAATCGTATTCTTCGTTCAACTTTAAATGCTTTGTGCGGAATATTGCAAAATCACGAGTAAATAAAAAGGGGAATTTTTCATCCACTTTTTCGCCCTACGCGGGAAAATCAAATAAAAAGATGCCTCGCACCGTGCAGATTAATCAGTGCGGATGCGACAGCGTATATATTTAATCCATTATCCCCTTTTTTCTCTTTTATACGGACGCATTAGCGGAAGTAACTTCGCGAATAGAGAGCCTCTTTATTTCCCCCTGCTCTTTCGTGCTCCTTGTCGATGGCGTGAGACCGCTAAATACGAGAGCGGGCGGAATGCGATGCGGACGGGAAGAGGAGGGAGAGGGGGCGAAGGATAGAGCGGAGGAGGGAAAAAAAGGGAGAAATAAGCAAGTGCACCCAGTGAGAACAAGGTCGGAACTCTCTGGCCTCCTTGCAGGATGGCTCTGGCTAATGTCAAGATAAATGCGATTTCCTGCGAACGGGACGGGAAAACGGNGGGGGGGGGGGGGGGGTGACGCGGGGGCGCAAGAAGAAAAATATTGTTTGCCGCGAAAACTGGGGCGCACATCCTGAAGAAGGACGTTGGTGGTGGTTCGACCACGGAGGCGTCACGCTGGTGGACGCGGAAGAGAGATCGGGAGAAGCCAAAAGAGCGCGGGTCGGCTCTCTCTCTCTCTCTCTCTCTCTTTCTCTCTCTCGTGTGAGGAGCTTGCCAAAATTTGCCAAGGCGCAAGGTACGTTTTTAGAGAGCGGAATCAAGGGGAGGAAGCTTTTAGAATAGGGTTACTTAAACCGGGTCAGGATTCTCGCACGACTCCCGAGGGTGAGCGCAGCGGAGCCTATAATGCGCGATCCATTTCGCGATGTATATTTTCGCCCATTCACGAAGATATTTTCATACGTCGTTTCCTTTTCCTTCCTCTGCCTCTCTCTTTTCTCTGTTTCTCTCTCTCTCTCTCTCTTTTTTTGCAGTTTCCTCGCTGGAGAGTATCACTTCGCATTTTTGCTCGCTGCTCTACAAATTGAAAGCATTTATAATGGAGACTCTAATAGCGGGCTTATAAAGGGACTCTCCCCAGCGCGTCTCTCACGTACGTACGGTTCTCTTTAAGATCCGAGCTTTACACGATTTCGATGCGGAAGAAGCCTGATACTTCTCCGAGTGCCTCTCTCGCAGTACTTATTTACGTGAAATTGAAAGTAGGAGATACGAAAAGTTCGCGATCTTCGAAGTCCTTCGGTTCTTAATAGCCACCGAATACGCCAGATGCAAATTTAAGGAAATCGTGCTCAAGGAACGTGCGAGCGCGGAATCGATTCCTCAATCGCGCCGCGCAATATCTGCCCGCGAGATCAATTACACCGATCGACAAGTTTCGTGTCGTAAATTGCATGCGTCTTGAATTCTAATTGTTTTCTTCCTTTCTGTTTGCGCGTCGAAACGAAAAGTGCCGGTAGAAAAATGATTCAGTTACAGTTCAAGAAATATAGACTGTATTTTAATTCGTGTAAATTAATAGTGTGCATGTGAGAGAGATATGAAGATGAAACAACGGAGCATTTTTTTATCATAACTTAAAATTTTTATGTTTCATATTGTCGGAAAGAGCTGAGATTCTTTCTGAATGTTATATTATGGGGCGCCTCTTAACGATCTCAAATGTAAAGAATGTTATAACGAGAGAATAGAAATAGAAATAGTCTGTATCTTGCTGCAGGAAATTAAAACGCAAGTCTCATTCATAAACTCTTACAGGACAGCTGTGCGCGTCGTCTCAAAGTAAAAAGTTACCGAGCCAACCGTACTCACTATTTTATTTTCACCATAAAAATAGCCAGAAGGACCATTTTCTTTGTAAATCTCTGCCGGTGATGATAACTTTACGTGCTATTACTACAAACTAAAATTGACACCGAAAGTAACTATATTTTCCCACCAGTGTAGCTTTGAAAGAAATGATTTCGGAGACATCCTTCCCTCCGCGCCACGGAAGTCACAAATATCGAATTCCCTTTTTGGTTATTGTTTACAATATGACGGGAGTTAGCGGCTAAGTTTTGATTTTCATTGTTACACGAGTACCACAAAATTAATTAGAATCGACGATCTATTTAGATTCAAGATACAATTGCCGCGTTGACCAGTGTTATTCGCGAAACATTCGCGATCGATCGTTCATCGGGCCACGTTCTGTCATTCAATCTCTCCCTCCCTCCCTACCTGTTTCCGCCCGTCGAATATTCAGCGATCCTAGAAATTCCGCGAGGAACAACGGGGGAGGTGGGGAGGGAGGGGAGAGCGGCAACGTACGCGTTTGCATTTCTACGTGGCGCGTATTGTCCGGCTCTCGCGACTATTTTCCGGGATTACCGATTGTTAACCGGCTAGGAATAGCTGGCAGTATGTCGCG